GCTCATTCAGATGATCAAGAAGATCAACGGCTACAAGAATCTGTGCCAACACGACCAGATAGCCCTGATGAAGGCCGGTTGCACCGAGATCATTATTTTACGATCCGTACAGACGTATAATTTTGAAAGGGATTTTTGGTCGATAGTGAAGGATAGCAAGAATCCCACCTTGATCAAGTTGGACGCGCTCAAGCCCTCCCTCCGGCCCTGTATTTTTGAGGCACACAAACGCTTTATGGCACAGATTGGCCACGAATGGGACAACAATCTCGATATTCTCAATCTGGTAATTATATTTTTTGTTTAGCTAGTTTGTTATGTGTAGTTATATCCTACTAGTTATATTAGATTTAGTATCCCAGGTCCCACTTGTATAAACTTTACTCCCATATAATGTACTCAAATATATTTATTGAAAATAATTATTTATAATTATTTTTTATTATAGTTGTCGACTATTGTGCTCTTCGACCCAAACCGACCCAATATTATTCACAAAGATATGATTGCGTAAGTATTTTCAAAGTACATACTATTGTTTAGCGACAGTATTTTTTGAGTACATTTGTGATGCTGTTTTACATTATGCTATAATTATTCTGTTATTTCATTGAATATTAATATCAATTATATATGAATATATAAATTATCATGAGTTTCAATTGTGCCGTTAATATTATGCTTAACACATGTACAATATGTACCATAAACTGAGAACTTGATGACTTAGTACATGTACTAGGGTACTATTTTTTATTAATATTTAGCATAAGCTATTAACTGTCGTATCAAATAGTGGTTATAAAATAATTTGTTTTTTGGACAAAAATATGTTTTTTAATTTTTAATGGCAAACAACAAGTCTATTAATGATTTGGCGTTTTTTAAATGCATGTGAATTAGTTTTCAGAATATTTGATATATTAGTTTATTATATGTTTTAATTAAACATGATGGAAAATAATTTTGCCAAACGAACAGAATAACATATGCTACTAAAAGTCCTAGATGCTAGATTTAGTGCACTTTGCCTAATATAAAATCA